AGAAAAAAAAAAACAAGGTTTAAAATTATTAGATTTTAAAATTTATTCTTAGAAGTGTAAAAGTTTATTAATTAAAAAACAACAACAACAACAACAAAAAGGAGATTGAAAAACCTGATGAACAATAATGGTTCATTGTAGTAGAGTTCGGCAATATGGGGGGGGGGGGGGGACACGACTGAACATAAACTATGCACCTATGGATGAGGACAATGGGGGGTGGGGAGGGGACGGAGGGTGAGGTGGGAACCTGGTGGAGGGGGGAAGAAATGAGGAACCTTTGTAATAATATGAATGTTAACGGAAAAAAACATTGAAACCTGTAAAGAATTTTGTAATGAGTGTATTTGAGCCAAAAATGTCGACAATTGCCGGGAAGCAAAACCTCAACAGATTGAGATAGTGCTCCAAAGAATGGTGGATTACATTTCTCTATTTATACACCGAAATCAAAGGAGGGACATAGGTGGGTTACATGAACTTCATTGGTGATGGAGTAAGGAGGCGGGAGAAAGCAAAGCGGTGGGAAACTCCTGGGGGGATTGGATAAAAGTAAAATGATGAACGTGTACTCAGGTGAGTGCAGGAACAATTAACATGATAACAAGGAATTTGAGACATCTGTCCTGGCGCCCACCACATTTGGTTGTTCCCCAGGGGCTCCAGAAAAAGGGAAGTTATAAGTTACCCAGAGATCTCACAGATATGTTATCTTAGATGCAGGAAGGCAGAGGGGCTCAGTAAAAGATCAAAGTTGATCTTTGTCAGGTGAAATCTCTGGGACATGACTACCTACTATAACCTGTTAGATATTTAATTTTCAGACCATCTCTTGTGGTTATCTTAGGTCTCTGGGTTTGCAAAACTGCCACACAGGCTTTCCCTGAGCTTGTCAGGTTAGCTTGTGGCTCTTTTCTTTCACATGAACAATAAAGATTAATTTAAAAAAAAAAAAAAAAGAAAGAAAAGAAAACTAGAAATAGTGTCATGAATTTTTGATAATTTGTTTTCTTCCTACTTCATGACTCAAGAGTTTTTGTATTATTTTTACAAGATCATACAGTATTTTTTCTTTCTCTTTTTGACTTATCTTACTTAGTACAATAACTTCAAAGTCCATTCATGTTGTATAAGTGGTAGGAAATAGGAATCTGCAGGATCGAGCCTGCAACCCAGGCATGTGCGTTATTGGGAATCAAACTGATGAATTCTCAGTTCATGGGTCGATGCTCAACCACTGAGCCACATCAGCTGGCATGAATCATTTTCTATAAAGAACTTTGCATGATTTTTTCACGTTCTTGGAATTACAGTGATTGTGGCACTTTGGAGCCATGAAACCATGTATATTTAAACATCTCAATTCTCTTTGCACGAATAAAGCATTGTATGTTGTGAAAAAGGGATGTGAAGAAACAAAAGTCATACACAAATAAACAGAAATCATGTTTTGCCATTGTTATTGATGTGTTGGACCACAGATTAAGTGCAAAGTTGTAAAAATGTATGAGCTTATAATGAATGCCCTTATTTCTAACATATAAAACTCTGCTCATTTGTGTTTTATATTAAAACGGGGGTGGCTAGCTGAAACCAGTTTGGCTCAGTAGATAGAGCATCGTCTGCCAACTGAAAGGTCCCAGGTTCGATTCCGGTCAAGGGCATGTACCTTGGTTGTGGGCACATCCCCGGTAGGGGGTGTGCAGGAGGCAGCTGATTGATGTCTCTCTCTCATCGATGTTTCTAGCTCTCTATCCCTTTCTCTTCCTTTCTGTAAAAAAAACAATAAAATATATTTTTTAAAAGGGGGGGGGTGGCTAATTGGGCTACAGGGGAGACTACATTTTTCTGTACCAACCAATTTGTGAGCCCTTTGTAAAATAAAATTTTCAAGTATTGAAAACTTCACACAAACATCTAAGGGCTCTCTAAAATCGCCGTCAATGCTGCCCTCCCACCCCCCGTGGAATGGATGGCAGTCTAGAACTGCAGGAGAATTCAGGCTTGGGAGTGAGATAGTTGCGTTTGAATATACCTCCATTACTTATGGCCCAGGAGAACTATTTTGTGCCTCAGCTTCTTCATCTGGGAGAAAGAGTTGTTGCTAGATTAATTTAAATGCAACGATCTATGCAGGATACACAGCACTTGGCTAGGCTCCTGGCAGACTGGTAGCTTTTATCATTATCAGTGGTGCCGTGTACAAGATGAAGAAGGACCTGGAAGAGAACACGAGTTTCTTTACCTCTGTGTCACTTACTCATTCCCTTCCTCAGAAATATTAACCCAAAACAGGTGCTGGTGAAATGACAGAGCATTTGTGCTTTTAAAGCACTTTTGTATAATGTTAGGGTAATGAGATGCTACCCTTATCAAATTGGTACTTACTGATTTATTCTGAGAATCTGTTCAGATTTAGTCCACAAACTGATGAGTAGCAAACGTTAATTCTGTGTGGCAACAGGGAGCTACCAAGCACAAGTGGTTTACTAATCACCCTTATGCTCTATCGCATATGCCCATAAGAAGTGCCAAAAAAGACAAGGAATCCATCAGTTCCTTTTACCTTCACACCGGAAAGTGAGAAGCAGAGACAGGTGTAATAGTCAGACGTCGGTGGAAGGAGACAGCAAAAGCAGATGAGACGCGCTATGGCCCTGGCCTGATATTTAAAGGGGTGTGAAGAAAGTAGAATTAGGACCCTATGGTCTCCCAGTCACCTTCATATCCCAGTGATTCTGTAGCATAGGATGAGTCTCAGTCTAAATCTGAATTTGGATTTAAGTGCCATTCCACAATTCAGTGATGCTAGGACGCCATCTAGGACTGGGGCCATCTTTACACTTACACTTTCTGACTTTCTTCCCCTCCAGCATGACCAAGCCTTTCAGACAAATCTGGGATGCCCTAAAATTAAAAAAACAAAACAAAACAAAAAAAACAGGACAGCCTGAAGGGAGACCTATGACCCTGGTAGAACCCACTTGTCTGCTCATCGTTACTTTCGGTGCTGGGGCCTGGACCAGCCTTGCTTCCCTCAAGGCACAGAACACCCCTCGTGTCCCAGTGTGCCTCAGAGCTGTCTGTCAGCACAGCCTGTTCTTTCTTGTGTTTCGATGAGACCTCTGTAGGGCCACCATTTCTGAATTCCTGTTTATTCTTTCTTCTCGGGACTTTGCCTTAAGGAGCAAAAACTAGAGAGTCAATGGCCACTGGCCTCAAGACATAAAAGTCCCAAGGATCAGTTAACATCACAAGTTGTTATGATGGATGTGAGAGAAGGGGGAGAGGGATCCATGCCCTGGGCCCTGACTACAGAGGTGATGCTGGAAACCATAACAATAGGGAGGTGTCCAGGCTGAGAGCAGAGTGTCTGCATGGGGAACAGGGACACAGGGACAGGCTTATTTTTCTTTTTTTCAGTGTCCCCTCTTCCTGCTACTCTGATGTTTAAAAAGTTGATCATTTTATAAAAGACATGAGATTTTCCATGGACTTCTCTGTAGATTTGTACTTTTAATTTTATATCTTCCAGTGATGAAAAATATATGCCACACTTTAACTCTGTATCTCACAAGGAATAAGACCCAGAGAGAAACAAAAGCTCACACTAGCATAAACAAATGTCTTGTGTCCATATTTTTATGATCAAAGGTCTTCTGAATAATAGGAGGATTTACTTATGAAAATTCTCATTCTAGCAGTAAAACTGAGTCTGGTTATGACTTGGGATTATTAAAAAGGGTACCATCCAATACTGCTAGTTGAAGATCAAAATAGTGCAGCCCATTTGGACTTAGTTTGGAATAGAATTTTTTTTTTAAAGTCTTGATAAATCAAGGTTTACTTATGCTACCTCTGGGAGTATCTCCCAAGGAGAAAGAATTCTAAATAGAAAGGATTTCTGTGCACAATTTTAAAAAGTAGAATACTTAGAATAGTGGGGAAAGTTAAGTATATTAATATTGTAGCTATGGGAATAAAATCTATGTATTTTAAAAAAAATTCAAGGAGAAATGAAAACACCTTCATCCTGCTATCAAGGATTGTGTTTCAGTGGTAGGATATGGACAACATTTCCCCCCAAAGCCCATACGAGGAACAGCATCTCTTATATCATTAAATTGCATAAAGGATACCAAGAATTGGATTTCAAACATTTAAAAACCATTTCATATCTGCTGTGCCCATTTCCGGAAGTGGGTCCTCCTTTTCTGTCTGCATTCTGTGGATGACTGAGTAAACTCACAGCTCTTAGCTCAGCCCTCAACCCAGAGAGCAGTCAGGGAGAATGGATTAACTGTGAGAAATCTGGAAACGAAGAAGGGTTCTGCATCCCAATGCTCCCTTTTCCTCCTGTACAATCCAGATAAAGGGTTGAGTAGAGAGAAACTGCCCAGAAGAAATCCATTAGCCATAATGTGGAAGAAACACAATGACAGTTAAAAAAAAAAAAAAAAAAACACCTCTTTTCAAGGTCTCTGAACTTTCCTAGTTACCCCACCCCCGCCCCTGACTGGTGGATAAACAAATATTGCCTAGAACTCTGATCTCAAACACTTACCTGGAAATCAGCAAATATAGTTTGTGCTTCTTCTTCTTCTTCTTCTTTTTCTTTTTTGTCAAAACATTGTACCTTTTGGAATGATGTAGTAATTATTAATTAAAGAAGATGTTTGGGGTAGAGGGAGCATTTACTAAGTCTTTTTCACTGAAACCAAAGAACTGGGCATTTTATTCTCTGAGTTATACTAACAAGTGATAAACACATATTTCAGCAGTTCATTTTCACCCTCGTTAATTGAAGAGAACAATTGCCTTTTTCTAGTTTGGAGATACATGGTATGTAGCTGAGTATTGAATACTCATAAAATATTTAGTGATAAAAAATGAAAGTGGGGGAAAAAACAACAATTACAACAGTTGTATGTTTGTATTTTGGGGGGAAATTGAGGGAACACTTATTTTTTATTTTGTCCTCCTTTTTCCCCCCTCTTTAGACAAAGCCTGTTGCCTTTGCAGTTCGGACAAATGTCAGCTACAGTGCAGCCCATGAAGATGATGTTCCGGTGCCTGGCATGGCCATCTCATTCGAAGCAAAAGATTTTCTGCATGTTAAGGAAGTAAGGGAAATAATGGGAATTTCTGTCCATGTGATTTTTTACCTTGAAACATCATTTTGTATTTCTTATTGCTGTGAAATAGTATTACATAGAGGGGCAGTTGTATAACACACATGTGAAATCAGTGCCTCAGCCATTCTTGATAGGACTGTCACCTTTATAAAGAAGAAAGCAGCAGCAGCCTCTTGTGATAACTTCAAGGCTCCCCTGGGCTCTGCGACCCAGAAATCGGGAGCTCCTCGAGATGACCCCTTTTTATGCTTAACCTGTGCTTTTCATTTTAATTTGAAACATTGACTATGTGCTGTCTTCTTCTCCTATCTCAAGTCTAACCATCTGGGGAGGGTTTAATAATAATATCTGGAATTCATGACCTCTCCTCTCTGCTGACCGTGTCTACACTCAGACCATGGCGCCCTTTCCCTCCTGCAGGGGTTGATTTCTGCAGTGGAAGGGAGAATGGCAGGAGATGAAGTCAAAAAGGGGGGAAACAGCAAGAAACTCCCTTTCCTCTATGCCAAAAGTCACCCCCTTGCATTTAACAGCGACTCAAATTCACCCTTAATTAAGGTTTATTTCGAGTTGGCATTGATTAAATGCCTGCTGTGCAGAACACAATGGAGGGGCCAGAAATCCCCCTACATGATGTTGTCAGGGTGTGAGCATGCGGTTTCCTTAGACCTGCAGGATTTACCATTGATGTCTGGGGAGCACATGTCCTAGGAAGCATTTGTAAAGCATTAACTGCTCACTGCACCAAAGGTTATAAGCAAAGGAGGTGATGATTGCCGATTTAAAGAGCCTGGAGAATCCCGAGCCTCCCATCTCATCGTGTTCAAAGAGAGATGTGGAACATTGGCTAGGAGGGAAGGATAGAAAGTTTTCAGAAGTGATGGTGCCACGAATCTGACTTTATGACAGGATATAAGATTAATTCAGGGTCTTCTCCTGATGGCTGATGCTTGGAGAGGAATCTCTTTCCACCATGAGAGGGAGAGGAACCAGAATGGATATTCTCTTTTCAAAATATTCAGGAACAGACTTGAAAAATACTGCTCCATTGAAGGAAGTTACACCAAATCATACAGGTTTAGGATAAGTATTCCATCCACAACAGAGAATTGTTCATCATCAGTAGTAAAGAAATTATCTGTGAACACTACCACACTAACTATAAACATGTTTTCACAAGGGTAAATTTTGCTCTGATGCAAACTATTTTCGGAGGTTTCAGTATTTATTTCTCAGTGTTAGTATTTCTAACTCATCCCATTCTGTAAGAGGCAGACCTCTGTTAACATGCTATAATTTTTAATGGCCGCTTATTAGGAAGGGTGGTGAATCATTGAGCAGGGAGAGTTTCACCTATTTACAGTGACAGTGGCAGCTGTGGGAGAATTCAGACTAATCTTAATTCTTAGACAAATTTTCATGTTAACTAAAAATACTTCACTTTTGTGGGCTTAACCTATGAACCTAATGGTTTTCTGAAGTCTGATAGTTGAAGCATAGTTGATTGTAATTGCCGTAATAAAACTTCGGTGCACTGATCTTAACAAATCTGGTTTTGTGTTTAGAAATTTAACAATGACTGGTGGATAGGGCGATTGGTTAAAGAAGGCTGTGAAATCGGATTCATTCCAAGCCCAGTGAAACTAGAGAATATGAGGCTACAGCATGAACAGAGAGCCAAGCAAGGGAAATTCTACTCCAGGTATGAGAAGAACATCAAGTGTTTGTGTTTAGATGATACCATCGTTCACATGCTATTGTTTGCTGTATTCCACAATCTTTGTTACATGTTATTCCCATGGACTAGTAATAGGCTATATTGATAGAATCACAAGTCCTGCATTTTAAAAAGTTCATCCCAGCCATGGCCGGTTGTTCAGTGGTTAGTGCATCTGCCCATGCACCCAATGGTCACAGGTTTGATTCCTGGTCATGGGCATGAATCTGGGTCGCAGGTTTACCCTGATTAGGCCACGTGCAGGAAGCAACCAACAGATGTGTATATCTTACATCTATGTTTCCCTCTCCTCTCCTCCCTCCCCCCCCCCTTTCTCTCTCTCTCTTTCTTTTTTTCTCTTTCTCTCTCTCTCTCATCTGTGTCTCTCTCTTTTCTTCTCCCCCCTCCCTTCCACTCTCTCTAAAAATCAATGGAAAAAATATCCTCAAATAAAATATCCAAAAATATAAAAATAAAAAGTTCAACCAGCATCTAATTTTCATCTGATTTGGGAGAGAATCAAATTATGTTTTATAATTAATGAAAAGAACAAAGGTCATAGAATATTAAATTCAGGCTCCAGTGCAGAGGAAATTATCAAGTCCTAATCTTTAACTGAAAATATTCCAACACTGAGCAAACTTGGTGGCTAATTCATATCTCTAGCTGCCTGGCATGGCAAGAAGATGTTTTAGAAATGACATTCCCAGACATCACTGGCAGAGACAGCCCTGATGCCTATTAGCTTTCATTTTCACTTGAGAAAATCAATTTCCAGTTCTCCCTGCTAAGCACTTAAAGGGAAACTCTATATGAAACCAGTTGAAATTGCCTTTGCAGGTAGCCATAAAAGGAGTTATGTGATAGGCTAGGGCTGAATAACCCTTCCTAGCATTCTGGCAGTTGTCTGCCTCTCACTAAGAGGATCACTAGAAGGGTTACTCAGACAGAGTGACTTTGAAATTGAACCCCATGCGGCCAAGTCCAAGAACATGGCGTGCTTCTCCCCGAATGAAAGGATGTGACATGGGCAAGTCCTTTCTTTAATGTGAATAGCTGGCTCCTATTTTCACTAGCTTATATTTTATTTGTTTTAAGAATGATGCAAATCCTTTGTCAATGATAATGTTCTAGTGTGAGCAAGAATTCTTTTCAAGTCCCTATAAACAAGTAAAAGCTTTTTGGTGTGAACCATCCATCCTCATGAATAGTATTTCATGACTGTCAGGCTCTTACAGTTCGATGGATCTCTTCCTTTGTTGACACTTCTTTCCTGTGTTTGACTTTTATTAACCCCCTGGTTACTGGGGGCCCTCAGATTATGGGAGGCATTTAGATGGAGGCATGGAGGTAGAGAAAGCAGGGGCATTTTACTGAGCGGTGGAGAAGACCTGACACCACTCATTCCATTCCCAGTGTCTCTATTCTCCATATTGACAATGGTATCTTACTACTAGTTAGTAAGAACCTACAACGTGTCAAGACTTCATTTTCCTGGGGCACAGCATTACTGTTCTCAATCCATAGCACTATACGTATATAGTTTGAGTTTTGAAGTTATCTCAGCTGGGGGACATTTTGTTTGTGTTTCGGGGTTTTTCAAGATAATTCAGCATTTTCCAGTTTTCTTGTCAATTCACCTGAGAAGTGGGTTTCACGATCAAATGGGCTTAGAGTGGTGAAAAGTTAACTGAGGGTTTTTCAGAGCCTTTAAATTTAGTATGCACTGTCAGTGGGATGGGGGGGGATATTTTTCATGCATATAATTATTTTATGAAAATTTAAATTATCTTATGAAAACTTTTCTTGGTTCATGTTTTAGGCATAGTGTTTTGTGGAATGCTTTGCGTAAAATTTGGAATGGGTTTTTGCCGATACAGACCCGTGTACCTTTCTTTGACTCTTTCACCTACAAACTGAGAAGGAAAAACTATTTCTAAAGAGTAGGGAGAAGTTTTTGCAAAAATGGTGAAGGAAGCATGGTTCCCTCTGCATCCAATGTGGGCCTCCCTGGTCCAGTGTCAGTGATCAGCTCAGCACCACTAGATCCTGAGGGAACAGGATGTATGTTAGAGCCTCCGCTTCAGGGATGAGGAACCTGGCCCAGAGAAGTTGGGGAACCTGACCAAGGTCACAGGATGGGAAGTGGTCGAATGAGATGGGAACTGGTCCGTGGACTGGAGCCTGGTCTCAGGTGACCACGCTGCTGCACTGTGAGTCAGGCAGCGAGGACCGGACATGGCAGGCACAGACAGAGCATCGTTCCCATTGCCAGCTGTTAGCATTCACTACAGCAGATATGTGTTTGTTATTGCTTTTTTTTTTTTTTTTGCCCTAAAAGGCCTATATAGTCTCATATAATTTCTGCTTTGATTTTCTTGATTTCATTTTGTCCTGTTTCTTCCCCTAAGCTTTTTCCTAAATATGTGAACATGTTTTTACTCCTTTCAGGTTTTTATTTTTGTCTTCTAATATTTTAAATAGAGTTTTGTTTTGAGGACATAACCAGAATTCAGCAGTATTTTAAAATTCCTATATATAAGTTATAAAATCTGATTGAAATCAAAGGCAGTATAATTGTGGCACAGCTCAAGAAAGTGCCATTTTGATAGAATTAAAAGTTAAGGACAAATTTGTGTTCTGGACATTTTGACTATTTGCAATGTTTGTCACAATTTCACACAATTCAAACAATACTTTGGCTTTTATTAAAATTCAAAGAGAACGTAAAATCCATGCTTAAACTGAAATTAGATTCGGTACTTTAGATAAAGAAAATTCTGGAAGAAACTGTTATGGTCCTAATAATGGATATTGCGTAACTACCAGACATTGTTTCTATAAATACCACTTTTAATTCATTTTATCTACTGTCTGGTATCCTTAAGAAGTGTACTGAAGTATTTTTTAAGAATCTTAAAAATATGTAGAGGGCCTATGCTAGTTGCTTAACATTTTTTGATGTTTGTTTTTATATATTAAAATCTCAGTATAGTAACAATAAAAGTCAGCCTGCTGCTGGTGTTTTAGTAGAATTTGCATTTTTGTATAATTGTTTACATGAGTAAATATTGCACTTTGATGCATAGACACTGTGGCATATTACTTCAACCAGTTTGGCTCTCATGGTAAACTTTACACAATAAGACTATCCTGAAATTCCATGTCACTCTTTGAAGATATTTTTTCCATCTCCATTTATGAGAAGTCATTTAGTAATATGTTATTTGATGTGGTTGGTATGCTGGTAAGAAACATAAATGCTATTGTTCTCATGTTAACACCAAAACTTTTAAGACACAGATTCATGTCTTACATAAAAAGTTAGAATATAATCGTTCTAAAGTCTATGCCCTTCAGATCATCCCTAAATTAACCCGGCTGAGTCCTCCACATTAGCCATGCTTGAGAAATGTCCTGGACACGATCTGACCTGAGGGTTCACGGATACGTGTGACACTGTTCGTTATGTTCCTTCGTGTGCCTTTTAGAGGTTAGCACGTTTTTTTGTAGTACTGTGTTTCCCTTTTGTAGGTCGCTCACGAAAACTTGAGTCCTTTCAATCTTATAGCAAACATAATCAAGTTAAGGCAAAGGATAAAGGAACCAAATAAAAAGGAAACATTGCTTCAGAGAGTCTCTAAGATAAGAAGAAAAAAAAAAAAAGCAAAAGAAAATCTCTACTATCTATTATACCTGTGATGCTGGCAGAGAATAAGAGGGTTACAAAAATTAATGGAGTTCTCTCCCATCCTCCCAGGGCCTTTTATAATTAAGCCTTGAATTTAGAACAGAGACTATTACACGGCTGTTGTAGCAGTCCAGGAATCTCCGCTGGGAAATTACTACCTGCCTCGTTGTAGAGAAGACACATTTAAAGCTCCATAAAAATATAATGAGTCATCATGTTTATTGAGCAATACAAATGTTTTAATGTCGGAAATAAGCGTCAGATTTAATATAAATTTTTGCTTTACTCCAGTAAATTAGGAGGAAATTCATCATCCAGTCTGGGTGACATAGTACCTAGTTCCAGAAAATCTACACCTCCATCATCTGGTAAGTAGGTACTGAGTGCTGAACAACTAATTACACCCTGCATTTCATGCTGTCCTCAGTCTGACTTAGTTGTGTGAATGTACATACACTGAATCCCTGTGGGAATCCTAGAAATGTTAAAAGGAATCAGAAATAAGAATGCCCATGTACAGTTAGGAAGAATCTGGAGAATTTTATTTTCTGGTTCTGGATTAAAAAAAGGAGTGGGGGGGGAATATATCAATGTGTTCACTGTCAGTTGCTTAAATGATCAAAGTGATGAACATATTTAACTTTTATTCCTATGGTGCCCATTGTCACACCCATTGGAAGTCTCAGTGCAGCCACAGTGTGTGCAGCGTAGGCCTGAGTGTTAAGAGAAGAAGCATTGAAACTTTGGAAAGGTTTGGAAAGAAATATAAATGAGGGAGTGATAACCCTGACATACTCCAAAGGTTCCGTAGAAGATGTATAGAAATATCAAAAAAGGATAAAAATTATTGTAGGAAGAGTGGCTTCTGTGTATTGTATTTTGTTGTTTTTTTTAATCTATAAAGTAGTGGATTTATGCTTATGGTTGCTAGATAAAATAAATTACATACAGTTAATATTGAATTTCAGGTAAACAATAAATAATTTTTTAGTATAGGAAATATTACATGAGACTTACTTATACTAAAAAATTATTTATTGGTTAACTGAAATTCAAACTTAATTGAATTTTTATTTACTAAATGTGGCAGCTCTACCATTCTGAGTAGAACTTGGGATTCTGTAGAAATAGGAGACTAACTGGTCAAATTGCATGGAAGCCCAGGATCAGAGTCTTAGTTTGCTAAGAGAGGCAATTGAGAGTCACCGTGCAATTATAATAAGGCTTGCCTGGACGAACATTTGAGCAAAATGAATCCATATCTGATTTCTAGCAAGCCGAGAGGAGGTCAGATACAGAGAACTGCACATCATGAAGTGCAGGAACTCATTGCATTATGACTGCTGTGTCTTAACAGGACTCCCCTATGAGTAACCATCACACCCATTCCAGATGGTGGTGGCTTTTAGGGATCAACCAAAGACTTCTTAGAAAAACTATAAGACCTTTTACATGAGCAAGATCTGAACACAATAAGAAATAAGTCATTGCAGGATGCATATTGATTTCAAAAACCATGTACTTATAACTCCGAGCAGTGGTCGGCAAACTGCGGCTCTTGAGCCACATGCGGCTCTTTGGTCCCTTGAGTGTGACTCTCCCATGGCCTATGAGAGTCTATTTTGAAGAAGAGGTGTTAGAAGAAGTTTAAGTGTAAAAAATTTGGCTCTCAAAGAAATTTCAATCATTATACTGTTGATATTTGGCTATCGACTAATGAGCTTGCCGACCACTGACTTAGAGCAATCCTAAGTTGCTCAAAATTGAGTAAAATAGTATGTTTGAAAGGAAAATTGAAGCTTTTTAAAGGTATTATGTGGGGCTTATGTCTTTCCTTCCCATTGGGGAATAGATCTTCCTGAAGGCACAGGAGAAAGGCAGCCTGTCTGACCTTCTCAAACTTATGAGGTTGTAGGGATTACAGTGTAAGCTTTACATGCTTCCTGTGTACTTTTAAGGCTGTAAGGAGACCTCACAGGTAGAAACACAGCTCCTGGGTTGGGGAAATGCTCCGTCACTTTGTGATAAAGCAGCATCCTCCTCCCACCCTGCCTATTGGCTCCCCCATTGCCACTCCCTTCCCTAGACCAGGAGGCTCTTCTGTTCCTGCAAAATGCTGTGGCTTCTCATCCTCATGGCCATATGAGAGCAGGAGCATTTTGAATCATAAGTTTGTAGTTTTTGTTAAATTACATGTCGTCTTTGTCATTACTAAAAATAAAGTTCAGTGAAGAAGTGATTTAAAACTTCATCCAAGTTTTCTATAAATACAGGATTTTGGGATAACTTTTCTGAATGCCAAGATTATAAAATACTTCTATCTGCCTGGATTGTAAATATTAACCAACTACAAAATTTACTGTAGGCATGTCAGTATCCTGCTATAATTTTTGTAACCCAACTTGTCTAAAAGAAAACTTCTAAAAATTCTACACAGAAGGTCCCCCACCCACCTTGAGGGAAAGCTGCTTAAGCAATCAAATGTGGATTGGCCTGCAGGTGGAGTATTCATCTTGGTTTCCCAGAGGCTGTCTGCAATTCTCCTCACCCATGACTGGACCAAAGAATATAAGCATCTGCCTAAAGTAAATGTATTTGAAGGTTCTGAAGGCTTGGGAAAGGAAATATTCTCACTTCACATCTGGGAAATGGCACAGTGCATACCCTCAACTGCATGGACGTAGACATCCGTGTTACTCCCATATGCCGCTCAAGTTAACCCAAATGTCCAAGATTCAACTAAATCCTAAATATCAAACAAAAATTTCCCAAGGCGCTCTCTCTAAAAATCAAAAAAATATTAAAGCATGCTAGTGAGGAAGAATAAAAGAAACTAATTTCAAATGTATGCAAACATTTTTTCACAAGTAAATACCAATGTTCGATAAGGTATGCATATATAAGTATGAAATTAAAAAGGGGTAACGTTTCTCAGTATAAGGAGAACCATCTAGTCGAATAAAGTTTATAGAACTCTGAAATGAATTGAACATGCTTCTTAAATCTTCGTACACTTCTTTAATGTGTTTTGAAAGTGGCCATCTGTTTTAGAATTCTCAGTGTTTCAGAATGAGTCCAGATGCCTTTCAATTTAAGTGAGCTAGAAGTCACAACTAGTAAACTAGAATGTTTTCAACTTGGAGTTTCGACTCCTTGTGACCAAATACCGGTAAATTTAAAACCTGGCTCAGGCTGGGGAAGAAGGGGGGTAGCCAACAACTGGGCAATGTCACAGCTAAACTTTTTATATATTTCCATTCTTCCTTAAACAAACAAAACAAACAAACAAAAAAAACCATCTGCTGATCACAGCAGGTAGAATCAATGGATAAATAATAAAATCTAGTTCCTGGACTTTGCTACCCTGTCATCTCTGACATGCAAGCAGATCTCAATTTTAGGAAGGTATTCTCGGGGTACTGGCCCAATAAGGTGAACTTTATAAGCCCAATAGAGGGTGAGGAAGGTAAAAGTTTGTAGGAATTTACCACCAGAAGGGAAACTTATCTGATGATGGTTAAGACATGGAACAGGAATAGTGGAAAAGTGGCCCAGATCGGCTCCATCACATCCAGGGAGACACTAGTGATGTGTTCACTAAGATGGGATCCAAGGCAAAACATTATAGGATCAGCATCAACCCAAACCCCTGGGCCAGTCCTCTAATGTTTCCATTGCACACTACGTGCTGAACCATTTCACTCATTCACATGCATGCACAACAAAGAGAAAAATGTGTTTATTGGTAATTCGAACTAAATTCCTGGAATTAACTCAGTCCATTATGACTTTCACTGGAGAATCACACCTCGGCTTCCTGCCAGCAATAGCTGATATTTGCAATGCCGAACAGACAATGCCAGTTTTAACAGGTCATCACAGGCTTTTGACCCAAATGAAGAGGAACAAACAAGAGCTCCTCGTTTTCAAATGTCTGAGCCATCTAATATCCATAATAATGTTAACATTGAAAAATAATGTGATGCCTGTCAGATGCTCTCCGTCCTTGAAAAGGTTAGAGCCGCTTGTGTGTCACAGGGAAGGTAGTGGCTTTGCAGCACCGAGCCATCTGTTATTTCAAGGGGAAATTTGCTCCTTAAATCTGAATGCTCTGTGGTTCCTGTTAGAGGTAACGTGGCATGGGAGGCTCTGGTGCTTCCCAGGGTGAGTAGATTTTCTACTTGGCCTCATCTAAACCACAGATCAATTTTCCAGCTCAACCCCGTGGTCCTGACACTGGGGATGTGCCCCGCCTGCTCCTCTCCACCCCCTAAGGAGCAAGGAGGAAGGAAAGGGCCCCCAGGCTGTGCAAAGGGCCTCGCCTGAAGCAGCACCAGTGTGTGGGGGCAGAAAGGGGCCCCTCAGGCAGAGCCAACCTCTGGGTCCTAGCTCTGCCGAGTGTTTGCCAAGAACAAGTCCCTCAAACTCTTTAAGAATTGATATCTTGAGATCCTTATTTCCGAGAACCAAGATGGCGGCATAGGGCAGATGCCCGAATGCAGCCTACCACAAGAAGTTTGAATTTAGAACTGAAAAACAGGGGAAACATCACCCTGAAGCACTGGACGGCTGGCTGAGGGGAGGCTCTACCATCTGGGAAGGAAAAAGAAGGTGTGCTGAACCTCAGGAACTGTGAAGGTACGGAAAACTGTGCACGCGAAAAAGCGGCTGCAGAGTTCGCTGCCTGCTTGCTTGCAGAGCGTGGAGAGGGAGGGCCGAGTTCGCTACTGGCTTACTCCCTGCTCGCGAAGAGGGCAGACAGCTAATTCGTGGCTGGCTGTCTTATCGGGAGGAAAACAGAACCACCCTATTGCGCTGATAGACGGCCCCAGACAGGGAGAGGCCAGACTGTCGGGCAGTGGGCTGGGATCTCTCGGAGGTGTGTAAAGCCAGCGGCCATTACTGCGGGACTCAGAAACCAGACCCTCGTAGGGAGGGGCTGAATAAAGCTTGTCTGTACCACCCAAGACTCCGCCCCATCCAAGCAGAGCACAGAGGCCCTTCCAGTGGCTAGCTTCCTCGTTCGCTGCCAATACGACTCTCCTATGGAGGGGCAGACAGGAATCTAAAGCTTGTCTGCGCCTATACCAAAGAGGTGCGCGCACCTGCAACCAATTGTGTGGGATTCAACAAAGCTTGTCTGTGCCACCCCGCCCATCCAAGCGGAATACAGAAACCCTCCTTAGCTGAGACACTTCTGATCCTCATAGCCAATTGGCTTGGAGATCAACACTTCCCAGTGATACCAACAACAAGCAAGGCTTAACAACAAGACTGCACACACAGCCCACAAAAGGCTGCACCAAGACTATCCACCTCAGGCTGACTCACTGAACCATATAGGACACCTTAGCACACAAAGCCACCCTACCAACTCAGGGAAGCTGTGAAAATGCCAAGACAAAGAAATAGATCACAAACAAAAGAAATGAAGGAAAAGAAGAGACTGGATACAGAGTTCAAAACCACGCTTATAAGGTTTTTCAAGAATTTCCTAGAAAAGATTGATAAGACCTATGAGGAGATGAAAAGGGATCAACAAGAACTAATAAGGAATCAACAAGAAATAATAAGGGATCAACAAGAAATAAAGAATACATTGTCTGAAATAAAAAATATTATAGAGTCCTAAAAACAAAATGGAAGATCGCAAGAATCAAGTCAAAGATTTGGAACATAAAGACACTCCTCCGCAGAAGTAAGAAGACGAGAATCCAGAAAGTTGAAGATAATGTAAGAAATCTCTGGGACAACTTCAAGCGAACCAACATCAGAATTATGGGGGTCCCAGAAGATGAGAGAGAGCAAGATATCGAACACATACTGAAAGAAATAGTGACAGAAAACTTCCCCCACCTGGTGAAAGAATTAAACTTACAAGTCCAGAAAGCGCACAGAACTCCAAACAAAAGGAATCCAAAGAAGACCACACCAAGACACATCATAATTAAAATTCCAAGAGCAAAAGACAAAGAGAGAATATTAAAAGCAGCAAGAGCAAAGCAGGTAGTTACCTATAAAGGAGCACCCATACGATTGTCAGCTGATTTCTCAACAGAAACCATGCAGGCCAGACGGGAATGGCAAGAAATATTCAAGGTGATGAATAGCAAGAACCTACAACCAAAAATAATCTACCCAGCAAAACTATCACTCAGAATCGAAGGCCAGATAAAGAGCTTCACAAATAAAATTTTAAAAAAGCTAAAGGAGCTCATCACTGCCAAACCAGAATTATATGAATTGCTGAAGGGGATTCTTTCGGAAGAGAAAGTAAATAAAGATAAAAACTATGAACAACAAATATGTAACTATCAACAAGTGAATCTAAAAACCAAGGGAATTAAAAAATCTGATGAACAATATTAACTGGTGAATATAATAGAATCAGAGGTATGGAAGGGGAGTGGACTGATGATTTTCGGGGAAAAGGGGTGAGGGGGGTGTGGGAAGAGGCAGGTGTGTGAACATAAACTGTGCACCTATGAATGAGGACAATGGGGGGTGGGGAAAGGGCAGAGGGTGGGGTGGAAACCTGGTGGAGGGGAGCAATGGGGGGGGGGGAATGAGGAACATTTGTAATAATATGAACAATAAAGATTTATTTTTAAAAAAAAGTTGATATCTTTTAAATCTTAAAAATAAGAGGGCTAAAGATGATCTTTAAAATCCTTTCCAGTCAATAAAATTCTCTAATAATTGCACAGGGAAGCATCTTATAAACGTCAAGATGACACAGTGGGCCTTTATTATTATTATTATTATTATTAGCACTAATTTTGAAGTGATATTTTTTTGGGGTGGAAGATTTTGAAAAGTGAAGACCTATTCTCTCCGGCCTGTGTGCCCTTCCGCCCTGCGCCTTGCATGGACCACGTGGCTTTACAGAAACCACTGGAAGCCTCCACGCCCCCTTCGGAGACCGCTGGACCCAGCGTTTCCCCAGCAGCTGTCAGTCATGCCCGCCCTAAATCCGGGGCACGTATCAACTTGAAATCATTTTAATCCTGCCTTCTCTGGAACCTTCCCCAAGCCAGTTCCCTCACATATGACTTCTTTGCGTGGTCTGAATTTAGGATTTTTCAATTCTGTCTTTCCTTTAAATGCCTGTTGCAATTTGAGTCAACCTTTTCACATCACCTGGTTTTCACACAAAACCAAGCACAAGGAGGACTCTGAAGTAGGCTGTGATGGAGGTGCCCAGGGGAGTTGCTCATTGCTTACAAGCTGGTTGAAGATACTGTAAGAAGTGAAGGGATCTGTGCCATACTGGTGTACGTTGCTATGGAAAATACCAATATCATGTTTGAAACTGCAAAGTAAAAAATGTCTTTCTGAAAATATTTTTTTGAGCTCTGGTGTAAAAATTGATCAAGTAAGCTCTTCTTACTCTGAAAGTAGATATCATGAGGGCCACTCTCAGTTTTGTTAGAGTTAAATACATGGTATTCTTAATGTGCTTTGCCTTTAAATTTTACTTTGTTTACTGTGCTGAGCACTCATTATAGATCTTTTACTAAGGTTAATTTTACTTGCTCTCATTTTATTTTTTATAACCTCTTTTTCCTCTCCTGTCTACCTGATGATTTTTGAATTGTTTGTCTGTATATAGCTATAGACATAGATGCTACTGGCTTAGATGCAGAAGAAAATGATATTCCAGCAAACCACCGCTCCCCTAAGCCCAGTGCAAACAGTGTAACGTCACCCCACTCCAAAGAGAAAAGAATGCCCTTCTTTAAGAAGGTAACATTAACTTCCGAGCTGCCATCTGTCCGCCTGCTCAACTGCACTGCGTCACATTCTAGTCCTGTTTACTGTCTGCGTCCTTTGATAAGCCAATAACATGCATGCTCTGTTATTCTTTGTCTCTTTTCCATGCTGCTGTAGCTAAGCTGAAGCAGAAATCGGTAAGTCTACATTGACATAAGCTGTGTTTATCCTGCCACTGGCATCATTAGCATTCAATCCCACAGTCGTATGAAATACAATTATTTCCGTCCGGAGGAAAGAGCCTACCAGACAGCTAATTGAGTCTGGGCATTGCAAACCAACTAAATTCAGTGAGTGACCTGTGAAAGCACCATTACAGTACTTATCCTTTTTGATGGAATAATATCTACCACCAAGGGGACTCGTTTACACATTTAAGGATGTCAAACACTGACAACACGATGGGATGCACCTCTCTTGTGCATGCTTATTCTGCCTGTCTTTGTCTCTTTCTTTTTTCTCAACTTAACTTATAATCAAGCATTTTAAAACCAATATTAGATTCTGATTGATGATATCCAGATACATAGCTTGTACTGAAAAACAAAATGATTCAAGTCTTAATTTAGTCAGTATTTAAACTTCTAATCCATTAGGTGCAAAATCTGCAGATGAACAAGACCAGTGGAAAACTGCAGGCTTGTTTTGGCGGTTTACTGTGAGTTTTTCCTATTGTCATATCTAAACATTCCCCTGATGTTCGTGCCTCCTCCATCGGTCCAATTTCAGCACCTCACCCGTTGGACAATGGGGCGGTGGCCATACGCAGAACCTTTGCCACTGGCCAACCAAGACACTACAGTGATGCGCCTCATGCCCTGACCGAAAACTAGCAAATCCTGAGCTCTCTTTACTCCAGACAAAGTCTGGTTCCCTTCAGCACATTTTGTAGCTTCAAAGCTATATTTTTGAAGGAGGCCTCCCCAGCCATTTCCATTCCTTCCCTTCTTTTATACCCCACTTTCCGCAGCCTACTCCGCTGTCTCTATAGTCACACTTCCTAACGTCACCATGTCCTACACGACCCCGGTGTATCATGGCCCACAGATGCTGAGGAAGACTTACTCTGCTCTCCACTCTCCACATCCTAAACACATTTCCTCTGCACACATATTTTGCTCTGTGGCGGAACTCTGACCTCATCGATGAGGTGTCAGATACTGAACTGTGAAGTTGTTGTTTTTTAAATAAATTACAGTTATGTTAAGGCCTGAGCACTCCAGGCTAAAATTAAAACTCCTGGATTTTTTTGTGTGTGTGTGTGTTAATACAGAAGCCCTAACCCATCTCTTGTGGTCCTATCTTCTTGTCACAGAAAAAGTGGCAGATAATGCAAAATCCTAGAAAGCCACTGTTGCTGAGCTGCTCCCGGCTTTAGCGAACAGTGACATGAACTAAAACCATGGTAGTGCAGATAAGATTTTTTAGCTCTCCTTACTCTGAAATTCCAAAACTTTAAAAATGTTTATCACAATTTTTCCACTGAAGAATTTGAACAATATAAGGTGAACAGGAAAGAGAAGGTAAAAATGATGTCATGATCACCAAGTACCAATATTCCATCAAATAAGGTAATTTCTGTAGCTTCCTTATTGACCGAGAAGCTGACTGATTGCCAGGACTGGGTAACCCTTTGCTAGCTGGCAGTCACAGATAGAAGGAAACAAAGACCTATCAAATAATGGGCCGCTTAATACTTAATGACTTGCAATAAAATTTCTTAGTAGCAGTTACTAAAATGTATGCAATTTTTATTCCTAATTTCACTGCTGAAAAAAGAATTCTCATACTTCATTGTTATAAAGACTTGGCTTCTAAACATTTTCAGAATGATCCCAGGTGGTACAACTGAAATAATTTAACAAATATGCTTATGATGCCTTCGGCACTGGTATTCATTCTTCTTATGTTATTGATTGTGTGGTCAACTTAGAGAGCAGAATTCAAAAACAGGAAACAGCCTGAGAGTCAATGATGAGAGTGTTCTCCGTGTTTTAGGCTGCTTTTAGAGTGGTGCTTGTGTGGCATTTGTGCTGTCACTGTATTATGTTTGTCTTGTTTGATTTCTGTTTAAAAATGTATTCTACCTTTATTATGGCTTTTAAAATTAATCTTGAATACTAGACAAGATTTTAAGCAGTAAAATTTGACAGCACAATCACAGTAATATTTCCTCCCCTTTTGAGTATATTTACCTATGACATTAGCGAAAGCTCAGCTGAAAGCTTTCGAATTTGAAATGGTTTTTAATTTCCCTCTTAAGCAAATTAAATTTGGTCAAATTCAGAAAGTTTGCAGTGAGCAATTTTAAGCAGCAATAAGATGTTCTGGAGCACAGGCTGATGCAAAAATTATATTCATTTGCACATCACTTTATCAGATTCTTAAAACAGTTTAAAGAATATTTTTTCTGTTGGTCTGTATTTTTTTCAGATGCTCTTTAATGCAGAAAAATTCATATCACAGTGATTTGTTTACTTCAGGTCTACAACCTCATATCTCTCTTCTGCATTAAAAGATGTCATTTTGGGAATCAGTGTGTGATAGTTTTACTATCAAAATAGCCATTTTTTATATAATCAAATAAATTAGTGGTTACCTGATGTTTGGGAAAATTTTGATTTTGATTTTAATTTTGATTATGTTATTTTAAGCAGTTAAGCTGAAAAGGTTTGAAAGTTTTAGAAATTGCTACGAAATTTACCTCCTCCCCCTGGAGGAAGACATGGATTAGTTATGTAACAAAGACACTACTTGGCGCTCCTGAGAAGCATGTTAGAGATGTAAGTGAATGATGAACTTTTTGAGGCCACAGAAGCAGGCTCGGTTATCACACATTGTCCACCTTTCCTCGAGACACATAACCTTTCTTTTTAGAAACCAAAAGTCCAACAATATCAGCCATAAGCTATGGATAGGAGTCCGAATTACTGTTTACTGAAACAAGCATACCTGCTAAGTTAAACTCTTAGAGTAAAATGGGATTTTTCAAGTATTTGGTATGAGTTACAGTGTTTTGAAGTTAGGTTTTACCCAGGTAAGACAAACACCTAAGACACAAAGGTAATGAAACCTTTCTTTTCTCTATACTTAATCATGTTAGGTCTGGCAAATGTGGCTCTTCAGAAAACTCCAATGCATCTGAAAAGCAATCTTAACTTCCAGTCAAGCCTAAAGCACCTATTCTGCATGAGGCATGTTTCTATCTGTTCTACCAACTAGTTCTCATTCAAAAGCAGCACCTTCTGCTTTAGGAACTCATCTGTTAGTAGTATTTCTTAAAGAGAGAGAAAAAAAATGTAGACAATTCAATAACCTGAAATCTTTAGAAAAATAAACCCACCAGTCTTTGATTGGGTTTATTTAGAAAAGAGGCAAGTTAATAAAATAATTTTAAAGAAAGAAATGTCTGGAAAGCCAGTGCCTCATATTACAGAGTTTGGAAAGAACAGGCTTTACGTAAAATGCTTATGTTCCCCCTGCCTGTTAACCACCTGACGTCCTCTCCTCTCTCTACAGACAGAGCACACGCCTCCCTATGATGTGGTACCTTCCATGCGCCCCGTGGTCTTGGTGGGCCCTTCCCTGAAGGGGTACGAGGTAGGTAGCTGCTATCTGCAGCGCATCTGACCTTTGTGTGCTGAACTGCTTTGTGACCCCACCTCTTTCTCCTGACTTGAATTTAGAACTTAAAGAGCTCCTACCACAAAGTATGGTGTTCTTCAAGATGTGGTATACATTGCTTCCTGTTGTGTCCTATTTTTATTTTTCTTGGCTGTTGTTCTAGAGATTTCTGCTAGCTACAGCTTACTCAGCCCGAGGGAACCAGGAAAGAGAGGTGACTGGAACCACCGTGGTGTCATGTATTATCATTAAAACATCAGGACAAATGCAGGGAACTTTGACTTTTGAATTGTCATTGGATCAGAGCTCAGAACAGAAAAATTTGTTCTCACATGCTACTTTTTCCAAATGGGAAAACTGGGTTTTCAGACATTCTTAAGAGTAAAATAGTTTTATTGTAATAGTAATATTTTTATTATCTCCTAACTTATTGTTTCCTCAATTGCAGGTCACAGATATGATGCAAAAAGCATTGTTTGATTTTTTAAAACACAGATTTGAAGGGCGGTGAGTATTTCAGAATCCTGGGTATTGTGGGTTTTGTCTTGAAAAATGGCGGGACAGGCATGTGATCCCAAGAGAGTTACCCTCTGAGGTCTATGGGGTGACAGGAAATAAGTTTATCCAGTTCAATCTGATGCCATAAATATTTGTCATATTTGCTTGGCACTTCCTCAAACCTGGATAATACATCTTATTGTTCCTGCACCTACATCCAGAGGCTGAATTTGGCCAAATGCTTTCTGAGTAGTCTCGCCCCAAATTCATGGTCAGCTGGCCCTCATCGCTGCCCAGAGTTATGATAAATATCCCTCTTCCATTCACTTTTCTACTCTTCTAATAATGTTCATGCCAGCTTCTCTCACCTCAAACCTCTAACATCTCCTGATCATCTTACTGTCTCCATGAATTTGCTTTCTATTTCGCTGAGAAAATAGAGACAGAGAACTTCCAAGAGTTCCCATCACCACACATATTCCCACTTGCATTTTTGCCTGTGAACCTGCTTTTCTCTTATTACTGTTAACAGTGGTCAAAACCACCAACTTGGATGGTAGGCCCAATCCCCCATCCCCACCCCAACAGCCATAACAACCCTTTCCTCTCTCCTCAATACTATAAGCATTTACAATGTAGTTCCTTCAACAAAAAAGTTGATCTCATTTTCCGTCTAGCTGTCTCATTTTTCTTCTTTTCTTTATAACAAAATTCCTTGAACAAGTTATGTGTCCATCACTCAACCAAAGCTAGCCTGTCAGTGACCCTCACAAGGCTAGTTCCCAAGTGAATCTGCAGCCCTCCTCTTAATTGACATGGTGGAACACATCTTCTTTTAAATTCTTTGTTTGGTCTCTGGAACCACACACACACACACACACACACTTTCTTGTTATTGGTTGATTCCTCTATGCGCCCTGACCAGGGATTGAAACTGCAACATTGGTGTATTGGGATGATGCTCTAACCAACTGACCTACCCAGCCAGGGCTGAGAAATGCAGAGATGTTGAAGCTCTTTGCCTATAAGGAGCCCATGTGTAAACCATAAATTAAAATCTCAAGCAGTAAAATATAAAGCAAATGAAAAGGCAGCTCAGCAGATGTGTGTCCAAGGTACAGGAAGCATAAACAGAGGAAGGGTTAACACTGATTTAGGGATGTCAACATCCAGGAAGGGTTTTAAAATGGAACCTATGGCCGAAACTGGTTTGGCCCAGTGGTAGAGCATCGGTCTGCGGACTGAAAGGTCCCAGGTTCGATTCCGGTCAAGGGCATGTACATTGGTTGCGGGCAATCCCCGGTAGGGGGTGTGCAAGAGGCAGCTGGTCGATGTTTCTCTCTCATCGACGTTTCTAGCTCTCTATCACTCTCTCCTCCTCTCTGTGAAAAATCAATAAAATATATATATTTTTTAAAATGGAACCTATGATTTTACCACCAAGTGAATTAGGAATATAAGGGGCTTGCCTACCAGATGTGACACAGCATATATGAGAGGCAAGCTACTTAACATTCCTCAAGTCAAGTGTAGGCAGAGAGTGACTGGTAACAAGGCTGGGCCATGTCTGCTGTGTCATGTTAATCTTAGACTTACTCCTTTTTCTCGCCTCTTCTCTCCCCTCAACTTGCTTGTATAAATCCTTATTGAGCATAAATCATCATCTCTGTGCCAGGCATTATGAGGAGAAAAGCAGATAGGACCTTACGTACTTACAGTCTATTGAAAGGCAGCTTGGGATCAGATAACCAGTGGGCGCCATAGTAAAGGTTAAGACAGCTTCTGATAGGAGTCTAAAGTGGAAACTTCAAAATACAGGGCTGGTGAATATTTCTGCATTGTCAGCAAGGTACATGTGCTGCCTCTCTTCTCCACACTCCTTTTCTTCTTCGATCCTAACAATATAAGTACAATAGATGGTATCTGTAGGTTTCAGTGTTTTTTTTAGATTTCTTAATACAGTACTTTCTCCCTTGACCACTCCTGCTTCTGCAACTATTTTCTAATTTATGTTGACTTTTGGGAGGGGAGGCAAGGACAGAGGAAGAAATTTTTATAGGAGGACAAGTGTGGTTAGTAATCAAGCAAAGGACTGAAAGAGACAGAAAAGGAAAACACAGTTCAAGGTATAAAAAGGCTATATGATAAAAGTCTACCTAACCAAATGTCCCTAATTAGACATTTTTGTTTTCCATTGCTTTATGAAATATATTTTATTTTGTGCCAAGAAACACAGCTTCATTCTTGGGCCTTTGGCTTGGTCCCAGGCTCTCAGGCCAAGTATAAAAGGCATACCTCTAATTGGGCCATTTAGCTTTCACTTCTTTATTCTTGGCTCTGTCATCTATCACAATTTGGAACTGTCTCATGAGCGTGCACACTCAGAAAATTCTGCTAGGCCAGGCACCATGCTCTCCGTGACGGAGGTAACCTGCTGCCCTTTCCAAAATGCCAAAGATGGGGAAACGAGATGGAATTTCCTGACTTCCTACTTTGGTTTAAACCTGAGTGCATTTTTAATTTGGAAGATAGATTCCAGCCATAGGGTGTATCTTGGACCCGTGTTATAAAGTATCAGCCATTCAGACTGGTTTCTTTTAAGAAATGCATAAACAAAATATCTGCATGTTGTATCAATCTTTTGTTTCCGGCCAGAAGTAATTTCCATATGGCTTTCTTAATGAACCCACCTTGGCTCATGTTGACTCATAGAGCTGGAGTTCAACTTTCTAGGCCTTTGACCACAAAGAAAGATCCTCCAAGGAAGTAATAGAGTCTATTAGGCAGAAGGCAAAAAGCCATAGAAATTTTAACTTTTTTTTTTTTTTTTTTTTTTTAACTCATGGCAAGACCTTCAGAGTATCTGAATCATTAAATATATTCGCTTTTGGCAAGCCAAGGTAACAACAGAGGGTGGAAAGTCAGCAGAAGCAGCAGGAAAAAGTAAATTACTCATGAATTATGTATTAAATAAACTAAATGTATCCAAAATACATAAGAATTCATGCAATTTAACTAAAGTAAGATAAACAATCCAATTAAAAAATGGGCAAACCTCCAACCTTGACCATCATGGGCCTTCACTCATGCACGCGTAGTGTCTGCACCCCTTGGAGTCATGCTGACAAGCAGCTGAGACCAGGGTCTCTGGAGACAATTCTGGTTTCAACTACATTATATTGACATAGAAGCTGTCCTAGGCAGATGGCCATTCCATTTTTTTTTTAACAAAATGTTTGTGTTGTTGCACAATTCCCTGACCCTTGTGTGGGTCCCTGGGTGTGTGGAGGGCATCCTTGAAGGCAGGAGGCTGGATGTTGGCACCCAAGGATTTGAAGGCGTTGTCCTGACTTGCCTTTTATGTCACACTAGCTTCCATGGTTATCTTCAAGTTCAACTTTGCGTGAATTGTCATGTTAAAAGATAAAATAAACAAAAATGGAGAAAGGACCTAATAGACAATTCACTAAAGTGAGCTTTTGACAAAATCCTCAGTCACTGATTATCAGACAGATGCAAATTAAAACCACAATGAGGTATCCCTTCACACCTGTCAGAATGGCTACCATCAACAAATCAACAAACAACAAGTGTTGGTGAGAAAAGTGCACTGCTGGTGGGAATGCAGACTATGCAGACACTGTGGACAGTATGGAGTTTCCTCAAAAATTAAATATGTAACTGCCATTTGACCCAGTGATCCCACTTCTAGGAATACATTCTAAGAAATCTAAAACACTAATCAGAAAAAAAAAAAAAAGCATGCCCCCCTGTATTCATAGCAGTGCAGTTTACAATAGCTAAAATCTGGGAATAGTCCGTATGCCTGGCAGTAGCTGAGTGGATAAAATGTTGTGGTACATTTACATCCTGGAATACTATATAGCAATAAAAAAAGGAAGCTCTCTTACCCTCTGAGACATCATGGAGGAACCTGGGAGAGCATTATGCTAAGTGAAATAAGCCAATCAGAGAAAGTCAGGTATCATGTGATTTCACTCATATGTAGAATTTAATGAACAAAATAAATGTTGGACTAAATAGATTCAGAGACATTGAAGAATGGAACAGACTGATGAATCTCAGAGGGAAGGCAGGTTGGGTGGGTAGGTGGGTGGAAAGTTATCAAACAAAGAACTTATATGCATATATGCATACCCCATGGACACAGACAATGGGGTGGGGAGGCCTGGGACGAGGGGGTCGAGGCAGGCTAGAAGGAGTCAATGATGGGGGGGGGGGGGTGACATCAGTAATACTTTCAACAATAATTATTTTTTAATAAATAATATTTTAAAAAATTAAAACCCAAGAGGGAGAAAATATGAAACAAAGTGTTGGTGATGAAAAGATTCTAGATAGGAATCTTTCTGTCCTTAAATCTATTTGTGTTCATTTGCTGCAGCCCTGGGAGTTGTCACAAACAGGACCCTAGTGTTAAAACAGCATTGAAGGGCGCCAGGGCGAAGAAGAGATGGCAAATCATTCTTTCTTTGTGTGAACAGAGTGGCCCATTTACATTGCATGACCCTCATCATCTGTGGCATGTAAACAAAACAATTTCCCAACTCACCCGGTAGGACAAGGACAGGTAAATTAGCAAGGGAATCGGGGACGAGGAGGAAGGCTACTGTTAGTGATGAGTTCGGTTGTCCTTGTAGTGTTGTGAAAATGTCAGCTCTTGCCATTGAAGTGTCTAGAATTCATACCGCATTGCTGTAGGAATATGTACATATTGAAACTGGTGTGACAGGATCTTAATCAAAATTCAGTAACCCTGGGAAACATTACATCACTTTATTTGGTGGAAAATTGTCTTGGATGTGAGATAACTCCTCCTAAACTAGTGCTGTCTACCTCGGTTGCATATTAGTATCACCAACAGTGTTTTAAAAATGAAATAAAAAGCAAGGGTCTATATTCTACCTTTGTGACTAATTGCAATCAAATCTCTAGGGCAGGACCTCATGTAACTTGAAATGCTTATATGGCAATTTTGAAGTACCAGGAGGGTTGAAAACCACCCCTCTAAACTGAATTGTTCCCATAATTTTGCCCTAATGACTTTCAAGGTCTTTTTTTCCCCGGTGGAAATTCAAATAATGACAATTCCCCAAGCATAAGTTAAGGAGTTGAGTGTGGTAGCCCGTCTCAGGCAGCTCACACAGCTTGTCACATAAGCAGGTCAGTAGACACCCGCCTGGACAGCACCACGTGCAGAAAGGAGAAAGCATGGGGACAAAGGGAGCGATGTTACAGAAACCCTGTCCTTCTGCTGAATGGGGTCAGGCTTGAGACGCTCCTGTTTTGTCATCACTGTAATTCCAGGATAGTGCCCAAGCACAGCAGCCTCTTTAGAGACACAGGACTCAGATTTGGTCCCCAGCAGTGCTTGGGTCCCCCTCAGCTGCACTAGTACATGCCCTGCGGGCACCTCAGGGGCTCACTCTTCCCTCTGCCTAGAAGACCCTGCCCACAGCATCCACAGGGCTCTGTGGTTGCCAGAGGAGGGATAGAGCATTGGCCACAGAAGGGTAGCACAGGGGAACCTGGGGGAAAATGGAATTATTCTGCATTATGAAGATGATAGTAGATATGACACTCCATGAATGGTCCCAACTCACAAAGGATCAACTTTAGGACACACATTTTTTTTGCAAAATTCTGGTTAACATTGGTTGCCTTTGGCAGAGGAATGCATTTGGGACAATGTAGAAAGGGTGTTTTTGGTGTCTACATTGTAGCTTGTGTTTTTTGTGTTTACTCCTTGCCTCTCAATAACATACTTTATTTGCTACTTGAGATTTCAGTCTTAATCATTACCTATTGACTTCCCCCGTGAAGAATATGTAACTTGGATGCACAGTTCTCTCTCTTACACATATCTGCATACATATCTCATTCTCTAGTCTCTCAACAGTTAAGTTGGTATTTTTGGCTAGCTCCATTTTTAGTATGTATTGTAGCCATGTAAATAATACATCAATAATACATGTCATGCACTGTGATTACTCTTTCATAAGTGTTTGTGGTACTATGAGATAAATCCTTTTACCTTTTATACTTAATTTTCTATATATTTGGCACTAATTCAGCCCCAGATCCTCCCCAGCTGTCTGAATCTCCTCACAGTAGATTCAGATGTACCAGGTGGTCTCTCACCTTTGTTCTTAGGAATCTTTCTGGGAGCGCTATGGGCTGCTATCATCTGGATGGGTGCCCTCTGTGCTGGTGCACATTCGCCATTCTGGGACATCCTTTGTCACTATCTTTGGGATTGCTGTCACCTTTCCTTTTGGAGCCCTTTCTCCTAGTTCCCTTCGTCTCTTTCAGGGTTCACCCTGTCATTCCAGTCAACAACATCGTCTAATAATTTCCCTAGAAAGAGGACATAAAAAATTTTTTTGAGACCTGAATGTCTGAAAATGTCTTTAGCCTTGGCTGGTGCGGCTCAGCTGGATGGGCAAAAAGGCTGCTAGTTTGATCCCTGGTCAAGGCATATGCCCAGATTATGGGCTCTCTCTCTGGTCAGGGTGTGCAGGAGGCAGCTGACTGCTGTTTCACTGTCACATCTCCCCCCACACACACACTCCTTTCTCTAAAAAATAAATTAATTAAATATTTTTACAATATAAAATGTTGTTATTCCACCCTTACATTTAATTGATAGTTAAAATGGTGATGGGATGCATTGAAATAATTTTCCCTCAGAATTTTTAAGGTTTTTTTGCTCCATGGGACCTGTTTTTTCCTCTGGAAATTTTGCTTTGTCCCCAGTGTTATGAAATTTATGTCTATGTCATCAACCTCTGTGCTAGACCCTTTCAAATTAGAAAAGTCACTCTTAATTCTGGATTTTTTTAAAAAATTATTTCCTGTTGTCTGTTTTAATTATTCTCTTTTTTGTGGACATCTTATTTTTTGGAAGTTGAACCTTCTAGATAACTCTAATTTTCATACTTTTCTTCTATTTTCCATCTTGTCACTTCAGTTTTAGAAGATGTCCTTAACTTTATCTTCTAGATCTTCTTTTGTTTTTCTTTTTCTTTTTATTTATTAAGGTATTACATATGTGTCCTTACCTCCCCTTTTTGTCCCCCATAACCCCATTCATGTCCTCCCTGGTGTCTGTCCATTGGTTAGGCTTATTTGCATGAATACAAGTCCTTTGGTTGATCTCTCCCCTTTACCCCCACCCTCCTCTACCTTCCCTCTGAGGTTTGACAGTCTGATCGATACTTCTCTGTCTCTGGTTCTATTTTTGGTCATCAGTTTGTGTTTTTCATTATATTTCACAAATGAGTGAGATCATGTGATATTTATCTTTCTCTGACTGACTTATTTTGCTTAGCATAATGCTCTCCAGTTCCATCCATGCTGCTGCAAATTGTAAGGATTCCTTTTTTTTTTTTTTTTTTTTTTTTTTTACCATACCATAGTATTCCACTGTATAGATGTACCACAGTTATTTCATCCACTCATCTGTTGATGGGCACTTAAGCTGTTTCCAAATCTTAACTATGGTGAATTGTGCTACTATGAACATAGTGGTGCATATGTCCTTTCTAATTGGTGTTTCCAGTTTCTTTGGATATATTCCTAGAAATGGGATGACTGGGTCAAATGGGAGTTCCATTTTTAGTTTTTTCAGGAAACTCCATACTGTTCTCCACAGTGGCTGCACCAGTCTGCATTCCTACCAGCAATGCACGAGGGTTCCTTTTTCTCCACATCCTGCCTGCATCTGTCATTTGTTGATTTGTTCATGATAGCCATTCTGTATATAGAACCAAAAGTTGAAAATAAGAGCTAATCAGAATAGCTAGCTCTCCTTTTTAATTTTTGTTTCTACTGTAATATATTTAATTTCCAAAATCTCGTTTTTGAAATAGATATTTTTGTCCCATATATAGTTATACTCATTTCTTAGCTTCCAACTTTTAATGTTATTAATAGTTTTGTTTATTTTGGTCTCTTATGTGAGAGGTTTACCTAAGAATGCCTAATGAATGTTGCTGTGCTCAGATTTAAGAATGGGACTTGAAATGATCAATTAGAAATTGTGCCCATAGGTGGAGCTTGTCAACTTTATTTCCTTGTAGAATAACCTCACTGGACAACCTATGTAGAAAACCACCAATGTCATTATCTTTGGGTCTTTCCTCTTTGGAGGTCAGATTCCCCAGAGGAAAATGTTCCCTTTATAATCCTTTCTTTTCCAAATAATATGTCTTCTCGACTCTGTCTTGGGTCTCCTCAGAGACCCTCTGCTTCATTGCCTGAGAGACTAAACCAGCACATGGGGAAAGGATGGTCACCTGGTGACTTGATGTAGCAGACGGGAGGGGAGGGCTCCAACTCTGAAACACTTCCAACTAAACCTCCTGTTTCTAGTCTCCCTTTCACCTTCTTCAAAGGTATTGTGACTCTTCTACTGCTGGGTGAAATATTCAGCTTTCTCCAGTCTAAGTAATTTGCATCTTTCTAGCTTTCAAATTTTGTTGTTCTCATTTCTACCCTAACCAAAATGACACACACACACCCCAACTACTGTCACAACACCCTCTGTGTCCTCTTCACAACACTCAGCTTAATCTATAATTACTTTATTAATTTATTTTCTTCTTTATTGCTGATCTCTGCCAGTTGATTCAGCTCTCTGAGGAAAGACCATGTTAAACTTGTTCTTACTCATTTTCATGCCAATCACAGCATCCTACTTACGGGAGGGCCTATAACACAAGGGTTGAATATGGCTCAAGGAGCCTGGGGTTCAAATCCCAGCTTTGTCATTTTTGGTTAATATGTAACACTGAATGAAAAACCTACCTATGGGGCATTTTCTTCATCAATAAGAGTAGTAATAAGCTGAAACCGGTATGGCTCAATGGATAGAGCGTCAGCCTGTGGACTGAAAGGTTCCGGGTTCAATTCCGGTCAAGGGCATGTACCTTGATTGCGGGCACATCCCCAGCAGGGGATGTGCAGGAGGCAGCTGATCGATGACTCTCTCTCATTGATGTTTCTAACTCTCTATCCCTCTCTCTTCCTCTCTGTAAAAAAATATATATATATATATATTTTTAAAAAAAGAGTAGTAATGATAATAAACCTCATTGCTAGAGTTTTGAGGATAACTTAATGAGATAGCACCAGTAATGAGATAATGTTTAGTACATGCCTGGCACTTAGTAAAGAACCAATAAATGCTAAGTGGCACAGGATAAAAATAATGACTGAGCAAGTACCCTTTTTTTGTTTGAAAATATGGCCATAATATATATATTGTATACTTAGATAAATTTGAAATATTTCTGTCCCTTTTTATTCAATTAATAACCTTGGGGTCTTATGTTACTTTTTTCCCAACAGGATATCCATCACAAGGGTCACTGCTGACATCTCGCTGGCCAAACGCTCAGTGTTAAATAACCCCAGTAAGCACGCAATAATAGAAAGGTCTAATACAAGGTCAAGCTTAGGTAAGTGTGCGCTGCTTATGAACTTAAGCTATTTCAACACTTCTCCCTGAGGCTGCCAACGAGATCTAACAAGATGGTAATTCCATGTGTCATAGAGCTGAGAAGAAAGAGACATGTGCTGCCAGGAGCTAGTGCTGCGGTCGCAGTGATTTCATGGCATGAGGCATTTGTTATGATAGTTGTGAGTTAAAAATTCCACAGTCTGTCAGCACGAATGTTTTGGTTGTGGTTGTTTTTACTTCTGTGAGCTTCAGTATCTACAGATTCAAAAAAATTCCTGGCTTTGCATGATAGGGTTTAGCTGGGGAAAAAAGGGGAGAAGGATGAAAAGAGATTTTAAACAATAGGCTTCTGAAAAACATAGATATTTTACCTTGGTTAAGTGGATGGTTTTTAAAAGAGAGAGATGGGTTAGGTAGCTCAGTAAGTAAGAGCATCATTCCAATATGCCATTGCAAGTCCTGGTCAAGGCACATACAAAAATCAACCAATTAATGTATTAATAAGATCAATAAGTGGAATAACAAATTGACCTCTTTCTCTTCTTTACCCTTTTCCCCCCTTTTTCTTTCCACCCTAAAATCAATAAAATTTTTTAAATGTTTTTTTTAAATCTCTATACATAAAAGCCTAAACAACCATAATGACCAGAATGACCAGTTGCTATGATGCACACTGACCACCAGGGGGAAGACACTCAATGCAAGAGCATTTTATTTTGATGTAGTCCCATTTATTTATTTTCTCTTTAGCTTCCATGGCCCTAAGGGCAGTATCAGTGAAGAAGTTCTTTTGGCATCTCTCTGAGATTTTGCTGCCTGTGGATTCCTCTAGTATTTTTATGGTTTCCCATCTTATATTTAAGTCCTGTATCTATTTTGAGTTTATATTTGTATATGTTGTAAGTTGGTGATCTAGTTTATTTATTTTGCATGTATCTGTCCAATTTTCCCAACACCATTTATTGAAGAGACTCTCTTCATTGTATGTCCTTGCCTCCTTTGTCAAATATTAATTGAGCATAGTGGTTTGGATCAATATCTGGATTCTCCATTCTGTTCCACTGATCTATATGTTTTTTCTTTTAACAGTAACAGGCAGTTTTGAGAACAGTGGCTTTGTACTACAGCTTGAAATCTGGTATTGAGGTCCCTCCTAATTTATTCTTCTTTCTCAAGATTACTGTGGCTTTTTGAGGTCTTTTTATAATTCCAGATGAATTTTTGGAGAGTTCTTTCTAGGTCTGTGAAATATGCCATTGGTATTTTAATGGGGAGTGCATTGAATCTATAGATTGCTTTGGATAGTATGGACATTTTAATGATGTTGATCCTACCAACCCATGAACATGGTATGTTCTTCCATCTGTTTATGTCTTCCTCTATCTCTTTTCTCAGTGTCCTGTAGTTTTTCCCGTATAGGTCTTTAGATATCTTAAGTTTTTGGTGCCATGGTAAATGGGATTGTTTTTTTTAGTCTGTCTTTCTGTAAGTTCATTATTGGTGTATAGAAATGCCATAGATTTCTTGGCGTTAATTTTGTATCCAGCTACATTGCTGCATTTATTAAGTCTATTAGTTTTTTGATGAAGTGTTTTGGGTTTTTTATGTACAATATCATGTCATCTGCAAATAAGGACAGCTTTACTTCTTCTTTTCCAATTTGGATGCCTTTTATTTCTTCTTCTTATCTAATTGCAATGGCTAATAGTTCCAGTACTATGTCAAACAGGAGTGGCGAGAGTGGGCATCCCTGTCTTGTTCCTGTTCTTAGAGGAAATGGTTTTAATTTTTGCCCATTGAGTATGTTGGCTGTTGGTTTATCATATATAGCTTTTATTATGTTGAGGTATGATCCTTCTATTACCACTTGTTGAGAATTTTTATCAAGAAAGTGTGTTGGATTTTGTCAAATGCTTTTTCTGCATCAATTGATATGACTATGTGACTTGTTTCTCTCAATTTGTTTATGTGATGTATCGTGTTTATTGATTTGTGGAAATTGTACCATCCTTGCATTCCTGGGATAAATCCTATTATACTTGGTCATGGTATATGATCTATCTGATGTACTGCTGAAACTGATTTGCTAGAATTTTGTTGAGGATTTTGACATCTATGTTCATGAGGGATATTGGCCTGCAATTCTCTTTCATTGTGTTGTCTGTATTTGGTTTTGGTATTAGGGTGATACTGGCTTCATAGAAGGAGCTTGGAAGTGTTCCTTCCTCTTGAATTTTTTGGAACAGTCTGAGGAGTTTAGGTTTTAGTTCTTCCTTGAATGTTTGGTAAAACTCTCCTGTGAAACCATCTGGCCGCAGGCTTTTGATGACTGCTTCAATTTCTTCCATAGTTACTAGACTATTGAGCTGTTTAGATTGTTCCTGATTGAGTTTTGGAAGGTTATATTTTTCCAGGAATATATCCATTTCCTCCAGGTTGTCCAGTTTGTTGGAATAGAATTGTATTATTTTTTTTAACAATCTTTTATATTTCAGCGGGATCTGATATTTCACCTCTTTCATTTCTGATTTTCTTTATTTGGGTCCCCTCTCTTTGCTTCTTGGCGAGTCTGGCTAGAGGTTCATCAATCTTGTTTTTCCTTTCAAAGAACTAGCTCTTGGTTTTGTTGATCATTTTTTATTGTTTCTTTGGTCTCTATGTCGTTTATCTCCACTCTTATCTTTATTATTTCCTTCTTTCTGCTTACACTGGGCTTTTCTTTAGATATCTCCCCTATTAGAAGCCTGTTCCACAATAAGGGGACACACCAGCCCAACAGCCCAGGGCTTCTCCTTATAAACACCGCCTGGTCCTCCAGCTTCTGAATTTCTTCATGGGAGCTCATCCTATCCCCGCAAAATCTGATATTTTTGCTGTGCGGTGGTGTGCTCCTTTGAGTCCAAGTGTTCGCACTACCTGGAACACAGTGTCGCTGCAGCTGTGGATATTCAGGCCTCTGACAAGATCCATTTTTCCTTTAAAGATGGTGAGATTTCCCCGTCCAATCCCACAGGTAGCTCCGGGAGGGGACCCAGCTGCAGTGGGGGCTGCCAGGTCAGGGGAACCCCGTCTAGTAGTCTCCCACTTTCTCCTGGAGTTTAGCTATCCCGTAGCTTGCTAACAAACACTCTCCGTGCAACTCTCAGCTGTTCTTTCTTTCTGCTCCAGGACAATGCTAGGAACATGTCTGTCTATTCTGCTGCCATTTTCTATACCTCTACCTAAAAAAATCCATGTATTAATATCTTGGCATATAGCCAAGACCAGTTTGGCTCAATGGATAGAGCATCGGCTTGGGAACTGAAGGGTCCCAGGTTCGATTCCGGTCAGGGGCATGTACCGTAGTTGCGGGCATATCCCCAGTAGGGGGTGTGCAAGAGGCAGCTGATCGATGACTCTCTCATCGATGTTTCTAACTCTCTATCTCTCTCCCTTCCTCTCTGTACAAAATCAATAAAAAAAAAATATCTTGGCATATAAATAAAATTTATGAACATATAAAAAAATGAATTATTTTGTTTTATCAGTTATCTGGATTTTATTTAATGAACACTACTACATTTATAATTAATACAAAAAATAATTGTGCTCAAACCATTGAACCAATGAAACTATTATTTTTTAAATTGATTTCAGAGAGGAAGGGAGAGATAGAGAGAGAGAGAAACATCAGTGATGAGAGAGAATAATAGATCAGCTGTCTCCTGCACATCCCTTACTGGGGATCTAGCCCGCAACCCAGGTATGTGCCTTCACCAGGAATCAAACCCTGATCTCCTGGTTCAGAGGTCGGACATGAAGTTATACTTAAAGTGTGGAATTCTGTGACTGTGTGAATAAGTTGTCAATAACTACACACATAATGAAAATCTTTGTGACCAAAATATTTTTATTATAATACTGATGATATATAACATTATATTACTTTCATGTTTTCAAGATAAAGATTATATGTTGTGAAATGATCATGGTAAGAAGTCCAGTTACCATACATCACCATACATTGTTATACATTTTTTTTTGTGATAAGAACTTTTAAGATCTACTCACTTAGGAACTTTCAAATATACATACAGTATCATTAACTATAATCACCATGCTATACATCACATCTGTAGGTTTCTTTCTTTTATAACTTGAAATTTGTGGCTTTCGACCTCTTTTACCTATTTTGCTCACCTCCCACCCCATACCTCTGGCAACCATCAATCCAGTCTCTGTATCTATGAATTTGGTGTTTTGGGTTTTTAATTTTATTATTTTGAGTTCCACATCTAAGGAAGATTTATCACATATATAGTATTTGTTTTTCTCTGTCTGACTTATTTCACTAAGCACAATGCCTTTAAAGTCTATCCATATTACAAATGGCAAGAGTTCACTCATTGTTATGGCAAAATAAGATTAAATATAAAATATACACATATATCACATTTTCTTTACCCATTTCTCCATCAATGTACCCTTAGGTTATTTCCATGTCTTGGCTGCAATGAACATGGTTAAGTTAGTGTTTTCCTTTCTCTCAAATACCCACAAGTAAAATTGAAGGATCATATGATAGTTCTATTTTTAATTTTTCGAGGAACCTCCTTACTGTTTTCTGTAGTGGCTGCTGCACCAATTTACATTCTCATCAACAGTGTACAAGGGTTTTCTTTACATCCTTGCCAACACTTGTTGACTTTATTTATAATATGTTTTATTGATTTCAGAAAGGAAATGAGAGGGAGAGAAACATCAAGATGAGAGTAAATCATTGATCGGATGCTTCTTGTACGCCCTACACTGGGGATTGAGCCCGCAACCCAGATATATCCCCTGACCAAGAATCTAATAACCTAATCGTGACTTCCTGGTTCATAGGTCAATGCTCAACCACTGTACCATGCCAGCCAAATGATTTTTATTTTTTTAATCCTTACCCAACATTTTTGTTTGAATTGATTTTTAGAGAGAAAGGATGGTAGAGGGAAAGGAAGAGAAAGAAACATCGAT